AGGAGGATAATCCACAATCTCTAAAATGCTAGTACACTTCCAAGCAGAGAGATAATCCACATTCTAATGAGGAAGAAACTAGCTCTGATATCTGAGGTGAGTGAAGTCTCTACAAACTATCACGGACACAGAAATGCAGACTCGAGATCTAATAAGAAGTTCAAGAAGAACTGACAAGAATTAGATTAATCAGATGAATATAAGAACAACACCAGAGAAGTGAGCTAGAGCTTGAAGAGATGTGTTGTCGAGACTGAAGAACTCTTCAGCCTCAATTCCAATATATACTCCTATTTAGAAAGCTTCTCAAGTAACTTCTACTAACTAGGAAGCTTTTAGAAGGTTCTAGAGACTTGCTTCTAGAAGGTTCTAGAAACTTATCTCTAGAAGGTTCTAGAAACTTATCTCTAGAAGGTTCTAAGGACTATGTCCCTAACATCTTCTACCAACTAAGAAGCTTCTAAGGATTATGTCCCTAACAGAGTGCTCTTAGTAATTTCTTTAATGGTATGTACTTTTGAAATATTAGTAGTCGATCATCTTCTAGGTACGATCGAATATGTCGACAGGCATGCAACCACGGCTTAATCCAACTTTATCGATGCTTCTTTTTAAATTTGTAATCTCGCTCATTACGCAATAAATTTCTTGCTTTCGATCACTTTGTTCTTTCCTTTGATTACTTTATTCTCTTTGTTGTTAAATTCTCATTCTTAATAATCATACTCTTTCATTATTTCTACTGAGTTTGCTTCCTAATCTCCTTTACTGCTTCGATAGTTAATTCCTAACATTCAATAATGTTGTCAATCTTCAGCAGCGGCGCCAAAATGTGATTGCTCGTTTTACTTATTCCGGAAGAAACTTCCGAGAATAAATCCGTATAAGGAGATTCGAATACGGGGAATGACCATGTATATGAGCTCCAATTGTTAGAATCACGCAATTAACTGCTACTGCTGAATGCTTACCATACTGAAGAATACTTAGCTTTTCCTCCTACTGTCCACTCTCTCATATCAATACAATAACATCCACGACAACGATTTCAGTACCTTGTGTAATTCACGAACATACAAGCATATCCCAAACCTTGGAACAAACAACTTCCAATCTACATAATCTAATCAAGACAATTCCTTTGATTACAATTCCTTTCCACTAAACTTACAACCTTGCGATAAACAGTGACTGGAAACTTCCATACGTCCTCAATCTTTCACAACAATTGATAAACAGTGATCCATAAACAACTTTGTAAATCAAACATTAATTCATTAAATCGATTCTCTTCACTAGAATCAACACTAACACAAAAAAAACAAAAAAACTAAGAAGAAGAGATAGCACCAAGCTTATCCCCGGCTCAGTACTATCGCAGACTGGCATTTTCTTCCCCTCTCCCATCCTCCTTATACTACCCCGAGATACCAACTCCTATACTACAGATGATAACTACTTTTCTTGACTATTCATCCATTCTACCTGCTGAACCACCTTTTCAACAGTTATCTATCCTTGTTTACACTATACACTAGGTATCTATATTCCAAAAATAACTACTTATTTTACAATACTTAATTGATAAATCTTTGAAACTTTGATCACATACCATTAAATTTCTCAAGGAAGATAATTTTTATTTTTTAAAACTTAAGGTGGACCTTGAATATAAATATGATATAGTATAGATATTAAAGTAACTTCAACAATATCTACCTTGTAACACATGGCTAATTTTATTGTTTTAGTTTTCAACCTATCAATCACCTATAAATACTTATTAAGTCAAATCTACATCTATAAAGCTTATAAGAAGCTTCTCACTAAGATATTATCAAATTAACTTATTTTTATATACTTCTATCTAATTCCTTATATCCTTCTTATTATCAATATTGATGTTTGTGATATCAAGCTCAAAAGGTCCAACTCAATTAGATACTTAAAAATCATAGAGTCCAAATTATCTGATATCTAAGGCTAATTATGATTATATTGTATAGATGCCAAAGATTTACATTTGATACCTTTAAAACATCTAAGAATATTAATTTGGAAAATATTAGCATGCTAATTTCTTTATTAAATACTTTCTATAAAAAAATAATTATTGATCAAAATTTATCAGTAGTTAAAAGTCAAAATCCTAAAATTTTAATACATTAAATTAATATATTTTTCTCTTCTTGAATTTATCCTACTACACAATTGACATGTATACATCCATATTGCACATTTCTACTTTAAATTATTCTTCTTTTATATATATATATATATATATATATAGACTTATTTATGGACTTGTTAAATTGACATGTATACATCCATATTGCACATGTCTACTTTAAATTGTTCTTCTTTTATATATATATATATATATATATATATAGACTTGTTTATGGACTTGTTAAATTGACATGTATACATCAATATTGCACATGTCTACTTTAAATTGTTCTTCTTTTATATATATATATATATATATATATCGAGACTTGTTAAAGCCACACCTCAACTTTGTTAAAGCCACACGTCCAAACCATGAGATGATTAATTTTGTCAAATGTCACTCTATCCCACACTCTATGACTGCAAAGGGCAACCCGCCCTTTGTGCCGAAGGAATCATTTCTCTGCTCGAGACACTGCCCGAGAATGCTGAGGGCAACCCCGTCCTTCTCTCCCTTCTCCTCTCCCGCATCCCACCTCACTCTTGTGGGTGCGTTCGTTTTTCATTGTTCACTTAAAGATGGTGAATATTGTGAACATATTCGACATTCCCACTGTGACATTGAATATATGTGCAGAGCTTTGCGATGCAATCGGCACTTTTGGCCAGGAGAAGGGTGGAGACTCATTAAGTATGTAGGTTTTAAGAATGTTCCAACTTTGGCTTGCACATAACGTGCAATAATATCATTCTAGGAGCTTTGTTCAGCATTTCTACTCAGTATGGAAGGCTGGCTAATGTGCAACTTTCTCTATCAGGGAAACATCTCTCAAGCCGCATTCCTCCAGCATTGAGCGGCAAGGCTGAGTCCACCTTCCGTCCTGGCAATGAGGGTCTGTGCGGGGCTCCTCTCCAAGCATGTCCTACGTACCTGCTGCTGCTCAGTTGATTAACAATTCCTTGTTGCAATCAAAGAATGTTGCTACACCATTGCATAAAATGCACCATACAGAATTCCATTGTAGGAAAACTGGACACATTCGATCAAAATCAATTTGCAGTCAATACCATCAACAAACACAAAAATTCGAGATTCAGCCACTAGATTGTGTGTGTGTGTATTGTATTCATCTCTGGTTAGCAGCTTTCTATTGCAAAACTAATCCTGTAGATTATTAGTGAAGTTGTTAGTGCTTCTTTGTCTAACAAATCTGCCTCCGCTTCGATCCCCGCTATGTGTGGAAATAAACCAGGAACATCATCAATGAAGTGAAATGAAGTGTATGTTTCTCTTTTGTTGTTCACACCTTCCCGTTCATGGCCGATGCAATCACTTATACCCCTTCTTTTATTTAACCTTTTGTTTCCACATACGTCTTGGACATGTTTTATTATAGTTTTCTCAATATTTTGCTATGAATCTACTTTATTTTCTTACCTTGCACGTTTGGGGGGAGACTTGAGCCTTGCATCATCGATCAGCACGGAAACATCACTTCTTCAGACACCTGTTGGAAAAGTGGGGCATGGTGCTTCTCGCAGCTGATTCAACGTGTCACTGCTGCGTACCAAGCCGGGAGCTCCCAACAGCAGCGGGTGGGGCAGGAACTGAGGCGTGATGCAGGAGGGCAGGACGAAGTGGTGAGACGCGGTGCGTGCGCGCTAAATCATGCGTCTCGCCTGTCAACACCATCCAGCCGCTCGATCAGCAGATTCTTCTGGCAATCTGACTTCGGCGGGTCCCGTAGTCTAGCGGTCAGGACATTGGACTCTGAATCCAGTAACGCGAGTTCAAATCTCGCCGGGACCTTTAGCCTTCCCTTTTGCCTTCCCTTTTGCCTTCCCTTTTGCCTTCCCTCTTGCCTCCCCACGTCTCCCCGATCCCGTCAGTCCCCACCGATGGCTTCCAGGCGCCGCGTTGTGCCGCTGTTTTGCTCCACCATCTCACACCTCGGTCCTCCTGCCGACTCATCCCACGCCCCACCGGCTTGTCATGCCAACACCACCTCCGCGCCCGCCATGCACCCTGCGCTGCACGACTCCGCCCGTACCCAATTCCAACATCCCTGTGCTCAGCATCCTGCCTCACGCTCTGCGGCTCCATCCCGATGCCTCCGCCTCCGGAGGATTGTGAACCCAAAGTCACTGGTTGGAGAGTCACTGTGGCTCGTCCTCACCCGACCCCTTCACAACGGACGCTGGAACGTCGAAGGTCTCTTTTTATAAAAGCTTACATTGTGCAATTGTTTTCATTTTCTGTTGTATGTAACGAAAAAGAAAAAGAAAAGAAAAATTATTATTACACCTGATGAACATTAATTATCAAAATTTGAGATAGAATAAAATGAAATTTAATCAATACTAAATTTATTATAATAACTATGTTTTGAACACTATGACACATTTTTGTGAAGAAATATTTTACACACATTATTCTGAAGCAAGTATTATAAATATAACCATGTTTTGTTTTTTTCATAACTAATAATAATACTAATTCAGTTTCAAATACATACATTTTATAGAAGATCTTTTCTGATAGGTGTATATTATCTACCTCACATAAAGAAAGATAATCACATATGCAGATGTCTGTATATATTAAAAATATGGAAGATCAAAAGAAAATTGATCTTATTTTTAGTGAAAAAAGCAGATAGAACCATTCCATAAAGCCTTGCACAAAACCACTACCAGCCAAAAATACTTGCAGACATTTAAAGCAGTGTTCTCAACCATGGCACATAAGAAAGAAGCTATCTAAGTGGGGCATTTACTTTAGCACCTGTTGATACCTGCATGTCGACTTCGATGGATAACATTATATATAACTCTGTAAACATTTTCATTTATTAATCTTAGTCATACAGTGTAAGACCAAGCACATGTCTAACATACATATCTAAAGTGGATTATAAAGATATGTATATGATGTCTCCGATTACTTCTTCATACTATAGACAATGCTTCTTGATATGGTATTAGAACAAGGTTGCAAACTCGCTATTATTCCATCTCTTTCTATTCTCCAATACTTGTAGTATTCAGCTCTTTCAAAATATTTCCTATTTCCACTCACTTAAAAGCATTACTTTTCACGTGAATCATCATGTCCAAGGATAGTTTAGTATAAAAAGATGTCAAGTTACTAAGCTACTCCAATACTTGTAGTATTAAGCTCCATCAAAACATTACCTATCTCTACTCACTTAAAATCATTATCTTTCACATGAATCATCATATCTAAGGGTAGTTTAGTACAAAAGGACGTCAAGTTATTAGGCTCTTTTAACTTCTATATCTGAAAGTATCTGATTACTTGTATAGCAAAAAAAAAACAAAAAAAAAAAAAACTTTAGTATATATTTTGTGGACAAGCATGGAATTTGAAGAGAGAAGAACATGATGAGGATAACATGGAACAACTAATGTACATTATAACTTTGTCCATCAAGCCCACTCTGTTGTTGCAACTCACTGGGTGTCAAGAATCGAAACCCCTGTGGAACTCTTTGTGCAGGTCCTTCGAGGTCAACAATGATAGTCGCAAGTTCGACCTCAAAAACTGCTTGGCCCTAATCTCTTTCTCCAAAGTCTCAGGCGTATAAGTATACTTCTCACAGTTCAAGCAGACGTTGGCTCAGTTGACAGCCATTGGAGTAAAAATTGACGATTCAGATCTTGCAAAGATTGTAATGAAATCCTTGCCCAACACATTTGACTACTAGCCGCAAAATTACACTAGTTCTGGAAAATTCTCAACATTGGATCAGTTACAGGCCCCCCTCATGCTCGAAAAGAACAGAAGACAGTCCAAATTTGGAAGTAAACAATCTCTTCTTGTACCAAATATCGATACCAAAGTCCTTTACTTTTGAGGCGCTCAATAGCCTCAATCCAATACACACTTCTCTCATGACCACCGCCCAAATCAACAACAACATTTTCGCAACCACGGTCGCTTCCGAGGAACAAGCAACGGACTCAAGAACCGAAGCATTAAATGCTTCGATTGCCGGCAATAGAGACACCCTAAAGACGGGTCTGGAGCGGCTTGCTAACATATAAAAACTTGAGGCTTACAGGAGATCAAAGCTCGGCATATGTCTCTCCGCCAACGCAGTTCAGGGTGAGTGGAACTGGCTTGAACTCGACAATTGTATAGTCACAGAAATTCTTGATTCAGATGATGGAAATTATGACATGTTCGAAGCCGCACTTTTCTCCCTTGATGTGAGCAGCCCCGACTCAGGTTGGTACCTGGATTTAGGTGCAACTCAACACTTAAGTGGCAACCGTAGCAACTTCTCTACCTTAGATGAGTACAGTGGCAACATTAAGATTGTGGGCGGTCAAATCCACCCAATTTCTGGTAGAAGTAATGTCCATTTTTCTTTACCATCTGGGGAAATAGAGGATGTTCATGGAGTTTTGTACGTGCCCGGACAGAAGAAGAACTTGCTCTTGATTGGCTCCTTTACTGACAGAGGAATTGTAGCTTGTTTTGACGATCACCAATGTATACTGTATAGTAAAAACCATAAATAGATCACAGTCAAGGGCATTCGCAACAAACGGAACGACCTCTATCAACTACAAGCCCGCAATCTTTATGTCACAACGAGACTTGCATAAGCCAATATCAATATTGTTTGCCTCTAGCACCTCCGATTAGGCCATATTGGATATGATGGACTACACACACTCACCGCAAAACATATGGCTTTTGGGTTTTCCTACATGCCGATCCACAGTGAAGTATGTCCCGGATGCCAATCTAAGAAACAATCCAGAGAATCATTCCTTCAACACAGCAAATGTCGGGCTTCAAAACCACTCAAACTTTTTCATCTGGATTTATGCGGGCCAATGTCTACACCTGCGTTACGGGGCTCCGTGTATATATTTGTAATCGTCGACAATTATAGCCACTATATAAAGGTGCGATTTTTACAAAAAAAGTCTACCACACTTTAGAATTTCAAAACTTTCAAAACTATGGTCGAATTAAAACTCAACCACACTATCCATACTCTTTGAAGTGACTGTGGCGGCAAATTCACATCTACTGAGTTCAACAACTACTGCGAAATTACTGGAATGTGGCGGCAATTTACGAATTCTGCGACTCCCCAACAGAACGGAGTTGTTGAGCACGCTAATAGAAAACTTCTCGAAACAGCAAGGTGCATGGTCCTACAAGCAGCAACCCCGCGTTTCTTGTGGACCAAAGCTGTCAATACAGCCGCGTTCCTCATAAATCGCTTATCGGCCATTGTCAATCCCTCCCAGGTAACTCATTTCCAACACCTCTTTAGGAAAAAGCTGAATTTTTTTTTCTCCGATCTATGGATCTCGACTTTACGAATAGATATGCAATAAGGATAAAAACAAACTTGAATCTAAAGCCAAACCGGGACTGTTTTTTGGCTACGATGACAAGACAAAGAGATACCGGGTATGGATTCCGAGCGATCATTTACTCATTATATTCTGGGAACGTTTGCTTTGATGAGTCTTCTCTACTTCAGAACTTGGAAAATCCGTCAACAAACCCTCCCGTTACGCTTGAGATTGCGGATGGACATGAATCTGGACCATACCCTAGTGCACTCAACATGAACACGAAGTCGAACCTCTGTTGGCCCCTAACCCAAGTGATTCCGACCTTGGGATTCTAGACTCAGAAACCACTCATTCATAAGAGACTCAATTCAGAATTCAATTCTCTTGAACTCGACAACCATCCACCTGATTGCGCGACAGTGTCACGTACTTATGTCAAACAGCGACTCCTTCAGATTGTTTCTCGACCGCGAACCTTGTCGAGTTTATCACTCCAATAGAACTTGATTGCTTCTTTGGAGTCACGACTGAGCCTGCTGACCCTATAACATTCCAAGAGGCAGATTCAGACCCTGGATGGCGAAAAGCCATGGACTCCAAAAAAGAGACCTTGATCAAAAATCAAACCTGGAAAGTCTATGACTAACCACAAGGCATCTCGACCGTCACCGCACGATGGGTTTATAAAACAAAAGTTGGGCCCAAAATTAAACAAAAGTTCAAGGCCAAACTAGCCGCCCGCGATTTCCAACAAAGGAGATTGATTTCGAAGTTTTGCACCAGTAGCCAAATGGAAAGCAGTAAGATCTATAGTGGCGCTTTTGGCCAGCAACACCTAGCCATTGATACATCTTGATGTAAAAACAGCTTTCTTAAATAGTGACCTACATGAAACAATCTATATAGAGGTAATCAAAGGTTTCAAAACTTCGTCTACTCAGAACCAAGTGTTTAAACTGAAAAAATCCCTCAACACAGCTTCCGCGAAGCACTAAAAGCCTGGTTTGAAAAGAAAAATTCCTTCCTCGAAGAACTCGGACTATCCCGAACAGAGGCGGACAACAGTCTATTTCACATCACCGACAGCACAGGTACTATCATCTTGATGTTAAATGTCGACGATCTCTTGTTGACTGGATCAATCCTTGGAGGAATTAACCAACTCAAACAACTCATGAAGCGCTTTGAGATGACGGATCTCAGAAATGTGGCACTATATCTTGGTGTCGAATTTAATAAACTCCGGAACGGAGTCTTCTTAACCCAGAAATCCCATTGCCTACAGGTTTTACGAGAATTTAATATGATAGAACGTACTTCGGCATCAATACCTATGCTCGTGGGCTTAAAATTAGGAGCGGAAGAGTGTTCATCGGTAGTTGATGCTAAACGGTTTCAGAGGTTAGTTGGGATTCTCATCTACCTAGTTACCACAAAACCGAAAATCTTTTTCGTAACCGGTGTTATGAGTCGCTTCATGCAAAGCCCTCGGGTTCCACACTTGAAAGCTGCTAACCACGTACTCCGGTATATCAAAGGGGCGTTAGAATTCGGCATCTACTACAAAAATCATGAAAGTCCCACCAGCATCGGACACACAGATTCAGATTGGGATAACTACCGCATTGACAGGAAGTCGATAACGGATTGGGTATTTAAGTCTGCAGGAGGCCCAATTTCATGGTCATCAAAAATAAATGAATAAATACCGTGGCAGTTTCCTCCACAGACGCAAGGCAAAGGCACTGTTGGAGGGCATTTGCGAATCCATCTGGCTTTGCACCCTGTCCACGAATATACATGGTCACGAATCAGATCCAATAACGAGCTTCTGTGACAATCAGAGTACCTTAAAGCGGCCAGTTACCCAGTTCACCACAAACAACTCAAAAATGTAGAATTGTGGTTACATTTTATTAGAGCATATGCACTCTGTTGGAAACAACATTATTATTAATATGATCAATTGATACACAATATATTGTGTGTACAAGGGTGACACCAAGAGTCACAACTCTTGGTGTAAGGTCAATACAAAGTAGATAGTATTCTATACAAGCAACTCATGTACTATATAGTATAATTCTCCCAATACTCCCACTAGTATACTAATCTTCATCCTTGAGTTGAATTTCATCCATAGCAAAATTTTATCCATTTTGAAAACAGATATGTGTGAGAAATATAGGGTTTCAATCTCCTTTTTGGTGTTGCATTGTTGCGAAGCTCTTTCGTAGCTCTCCCACTGCTTCTTCAAATCTGAGAAGATATGTATTTCTTTATTGACTTGTGTTTGCTTGTTGCTTCTTATTTGTTGTCCACACATTTTTTGTTTTTCTTTTTGTTGTTTCTTCATTGTTCTGTTGTTGGAAGAGGCGTTGTGAATGCAAGCACAACAACAAGTTTTGAAGGAGGTATCTAGGCAGAGTCGGCCGCAGATACAATTGCCTTGATAGCGAGCTCTGCAACAAGCCCATTGTCGAGATTTACAATAAGTGCAGCGGCGGGCTCCATACCAAGCTTGACGACAAGTCCTCCAATAGACTTGGTTGGAGGCTCTATTGTAAGCTCCGCAATAAGCTTAGTTGTGCCTTCTACAGCGGATCCTATAGCTGGCCTTGCGGTGGATCCTATAGTTGGCCATGCGATAGATCCTACAAGTGGCCGTGAGGTGGGCTTCGTAGTAAGCTTAGCTGCAAGATCCGTAGTGGATTCTATTACGGGCCTTGTGGCAATCTTGACTATGAACTATGCAGCAAGCTTACAAAGGGTCTAATTTTTCTCCTAGAAGTATCGATAGATAGATTTTCTTTAGTATATTGAAATGTCATGGATTTGGAGTGATTTATCTTACTAGATTGTCTCCCACTCTATAATATTTCAAAATATTTATATTTTATAAAATTGTATTGTTTGGAAGAGACTAGAATGCTTGAATGATTGTAGAATAGTTTGCTTATTTTATATTTAGAGGAAGTTAATACATGCCTAATTGTGATAAGCTTTGTAAATATTTCTCTTTAGGAAGAGATTTTATAAATATATATGCTGTCATTTGTATGGTTGGCATATATTGGAAAGGATCTTTTCTTTGGCAAAATGGTATTGTGTTTCCACATGTTGCTCTTAGAGTGATATTTGAGATTTTCATTAAGAGCAATGGTACTTTGACTATCTAAATATATAGTAGTTGGTGTATGTTGAGGGAATCCAAGTTCATATAATAATTTTTTCAACGACATGGCTTAAGCTATTGCTTTTGTTAAAGCCATGTATTTTGATTCTGTAGAGGATAAAGCAAAAAATTGTTGTTTCTTGTTGTCTCAAGAGATAACTCCTCTAGCCAATAAGAAGCAAAATCTAGAGGTGGAGGGACAGGTGTCCTTATCACATACCTAGTCAGCATCAAAATAACCATGGAGAATATTATCTTGAAATAAGTGTTGATATTTTATTCCAAAGTTTAATGTGCCTTTTATATATCTTATAGTTCTTTTCAAAGTTTGAATATGTGTAGGTCTTGGTTTAGAGAGATATTGTGCTAAATTGCTGATAGCATAAGCAGAATGGAGTCTAGAATTAACAATGGTATGCATTAAACTGCCAACAATTTGAGAATAGGGGTAATCATAGAAAGTAATATAGTCTTCATTACTTAAACAAATTCTTAGCTAAATTGAGGTACTTAATGGATTTGAATGCAATATATTAAGTTCATTAAGTTTATTTATTAAGTATTTGGCTTGATAAAGGATGATCAATCCTAATTTTCTATTTCTTAGTATGGTATTGCCTAAAGTATAATGGATTTTTCCTTCATTAGTCATGTCAAATTCTTGTTGGAGAATGTCTTTCACTTGTTGAATTAAAGAAAGCTTGTTGCTGATAAGAATACAATCATTAATATAGATTATAATTATAATAAAATCCTTATTATTTTTTCTTTTGATGTATATGTTTGCATCTAATTCAAGGCATTGGTATTTGTGAAGGATTAAGTATTGATCTAATCATTGATACTATGCTCTAGATGATTATTTAAGACCATATAGGGATTTATTTAAATTACATACCTTATTAGTATGTGTAGAAGGTAATCCTTCAAGAATAGTTATATAGATGTCTTTTTTTATAAAATCATTTTAAATTATTGTTTTAACATCTAGTTGATGTATTTTCAGATTGTGTTGAGTAATTAAATCAAGAAGAACTTTGATAGAATTAAGTTTGACTACAAAAGAGTATGTCTTTATGTAATCAATACCTTGAACTTTGGTGAAATCTCTTGCAACTAGCCTTGCTTTATATTTGTCAATACTTCCATCAACTTTAGTTTTCATTTTAAAAATCCACTTTGAATTGATTGGTTTTCAATTAAGAGGTAAATTTTTCATGTGCCATATATTGTTCTTATTTAAGGATGTAATTTCAGTATTGATTATTTTTTGCCATTCTTAAGTATCAACCCTTTCTATTACTTCTTGAATGGAATTTGGAGCTTCTATATGAGTAGAAAGAAGTTGGGTTTGGTGATGCCAATTACATTCTCATTTATACTCTTTTTTGCCTTATATAGACTCTAACAATCTTATGGTTGGTTGAATAATTCTTCTTGGTTGAGAACTAAAAAGAAGATTTGAGGTTTGCAATATAGAATGGACTTCATCATCTTCAAGAGGTAAGATCTCTTCATCAATTAGTAATGATAGTTGAGAGAAGTCTTCTATGGCATCAATATGAGAAGGGGGTTGTTCTCCTATATTTGAAGAAGTATTATGTATTGGTTGTTGATCAAATACATGTATTTCTTGTGGTAGTGGCATTAGTAGGGAAGACATGCATTAAACAGGGAGAATATTTTTCTCATTGGTCATTATAGTTATTAAAGGATGTTTGAATAATTTTAAATATAGTAAGAGTTTTTTATTGTCTTTTTACAAGTATGTGATTGTTTGTCGATTACATAGATTCTCATTGAAGAAAAAATCTTTTGAAATGAAAATTTTTTGATTTTGTATATTCATAAGTCTATAGGCTTTAGATTCTTCACTATAGCCTAAAAAGATAGCTTCTTGTGAATGAGAATCTAACTTCTTTCTTGTTTCTTTAGGAATAAAAATATGAGCTTTGTAACCAAATATTTTAAGATAGGATAAATTTGGTTGTCATTTGTACCATAATTCAAATGGTGTTTTGATAACTTGTACAGATTTTGTAGGGCTCCTAGTTTGGAGATAATTTGTTGTTTGGAGTACTTCATCCCAAAAACTTTTAAGTAAGTTTGAATAGGATAGTATTGCAAGTATTGCTCCTATTAATGTTCTATTTTTTCTTTTAAAAATACCATTTTATTGTAGTATATTCTGGTTTAATGTTCTTTCTTACAAAAGTCTTTAAAGTCATTGGATGTATATTCATATCTACGATCCAATCTTAAGATTTTGATTTTGAAACTTGTTTGTTTTTCTATAAATTTTTTATATAAGGTAAATTTTTTAAATGCTTCAGATTTATTTTTATCAAATATACTTGCCAATATCTTATTAGATCATCAATAAATATGATGAAGTAGGTATATTTTGAATATATAGCTACTTGCATAAGACTACAAATGTCAGAATGTAAAAATTCTAACAATTGAGTAGTTCTTTTTGCACCTTGTATAGTAAAATTTTTCTTATATGTTTACCTTCTATGTAAGGTTGGCATAAGATAATTTTTTTTTCATCAAAAGAATCAATCTTCTTTGCTATAGTTTGTATTTATTTGAGTCTTTGATGATTTATGTATCATAGTCTTAGGTGCCATAAATCAAATTTATTTAATTGTGTTGTTGCTGGAATAGCAATTTGAGGCTTCTTTAAAATTATTGTTGTACCTAATTCATATAAATCAGGGTTTAATTTACATATTGTAATGACCAGACCAAATTTATTTATAAGCATAGTGGCATCAGCTTTTATGTGAATTTCTCGTCTTAGCTTATCCAATTATTTAGTAGAGAATAAATTCTTTGCAAGTCATAGTATATGTAATACATTATCAAGGACATGAATCTCAAAGAAAGAAAATCCTTAATACACTCATGTATTACTGAAAGAAGCTAGAGAGTCACTCAAAGATGATATAATATTGAACTAAAATGACTACTGCCAAAAACAAGAAGACTAAAAAGTCTTAGAACAAGACTAAGGACTGAAAAGGCGTTGACAAGAGCAAAGAAGGCTTCATTCTTGCCTCCATATATACTCTCTAACTAGGAGCTACATGGCAATAATCTATAGGACCTCTAACATGTATTGACTTTGCTAGCCATATGTTTAAATTTATAAGGCAAGTTATCTATGTATGGAATTAACTTGTTCCATAAGCTATCGATACGTGATTAACTTGTTGGCAAAGTTTCTAACCTACAAACACATCTAAAGTCAAAACCGCATTTATGAATCTTTTAGATGTTGAATTGTGGTTGTTCCTTATGATAGGCATCCACATTGGTCTTTTGTCATTCTTTAGCTTCTTTTAATTGTATCTTCGTTGTTGCATGTAGCTCTGACAAATGATTTGCTAAATCTTTCACTGCAAGATTATTAATTTTTGAAAAGTCAAAATTATCAAATCATGGATGATAACCATAATAAGCAAAGAAAGGCATTTATTGAATAGAAGATTGTATCAAATTATTGTATGCAAACTTTGCCATTAGTAAAAGAGTTGTCAAATTATCTTGATGATAGTTGATGGTACACCTCAAATATTGTTTAAAAATTAAATTCACCTGTTTTGTTTGTCCATCAATTTGAAGATGAAAAGCTGAAAAAAACTTTATATCCACCTTTAAAATCTTGAATAGGATTTTCCAAAATCTTGATACAAATTGAGTCTCCCTATCTGATATAATATCCTTTGACAATCCATAATAGCAATAGATATTATCAATAAAAAGCTTAGCTATTTCTTCTCTTGAAATAGATTTTGTACATGATATAAAATATGCTATTTTGGTGAAGCGATCTACAATTACAAATATAGAGTCATATGAACTTGAACTTAGAAGATTTATAATAAAATTCATAGAAATGGAAGACCATGGTTGTTTGGATATAGGCAATGATTGGAGAAGTCTATAGGATTGATGATAAGGAGTTTTTGATCTTGAACAAGTATCACATGACTGAACAAAGTCTTTTACGGCCTTCCACATTTGTAGCCACTAAAAATTTGTAGATATAAGCTCTAAAGTCTTGTTGTATATAAAATGACCTGTTGCTAGAAAGTCATGATGTGCTTGAAAAATACATAAATATTGTCGTACTATAATTACTTATAAT